CGCGCGCCGGTCCGTGCGGCGGAGCTCCCTGCGGAGGCCTGGGCAGCCCGGTGCTCCTCGCCGAATCGGGCCTTCAGGTCTGCTCCGCACTTTATTTAAAGACAGCGCCTCACGAACCACGTAGGATTTCTAGGAGGAGGTTGCAAACTTACTTGCTGAGGGTCATTTATTCAGTTCTATAACCTCTTGGTTATTTATAAAAGTGGGTATTTATAAAAGTGTTTCTAGTGTCGTTTTAACGTAATGTGTAAAAGCTAAGCAGACCTTATCTCACATGAAAGGAGCTTGCTGAGTAATACAGGCACCGTTTTTAGTACCTCTTTAAAAATACAAACCTGTGGTACCCATCTGGGAGAGAGCCAGAGATGGGCACAGGGCCTTAGCCTGACTCGGGTGCCCCTGTCTTTCAGGCCCAGTGGTTCTCAGCACGCCTGCCCAGCTCATCGCTCCGGTGGTGGTGGCCAAAGGGACTCTCTCCATCACCACGACAGAAATCTACTTCGAGGTAGATGAGGATGATCCTGCCTTCAAAAAGATCGACGCGAAAGTGAGTTAAAGTGATTAGAATTAGACTGTGGTACTGGTGGCCTTGTGGCAGGAAGTGGTTTTCAGTTTTGTTGGTTTTTAAATGACAGTGGGGGAGGGGAGCCGATTCCTATCTTTCTCATAGAAAATGAAATGAACGAAATAACACATGCTTTATTTTATGGGATTGAAGATTATATTAACGATTTTAAATCCTGCACTACTAGAGCAAGCACATTTTAACAGTCTGTCTATGAGTGCCTTTGTGTGCATTTGGGCAGATTTGGTAGTTAAGCCAATTGCTCCCAAATCCCTGGGGTACAAAACCTCAGGTTCTCTAAGAAGACTAGGAAGGGTTTTATGAAATTTCTTACCGAGATCACTTTTAATTTTCAAAAGTGTAGATTGCAACGTGAATTATTATTGATTGAAATTATAAGGAAACTGCAGGGAGGGGGTACCATTTAGATATAAATTCATCTCCATCATTACATCCATTTTTTATCGCCTGAAATAAGAATGGGTTTTACATGTGAATTTAAAACGAAGAGAAACTGATTCTCTGAGAAGTTTTGAATTAAAATGTGCATATACTAGCACTCCGATGTTTAAAGTTTGTATTCTTTTCTGGGTGTAATGCCAGAAAATACATGTTTGGAGGATTTGAAATGCATACATATTTATTTGTTCATTATTATCATTTGTGTAGATTTTAAAACCTTAGTATTAGGACAGCTCTACACATTTGCATTTTCTTCTGCAATCAATTTTATTGTTATTTTAACTTTTATGTTACTATGCAATTTGTAAGCTTTTTTCCTGAGGTTAAGAATTCAAAATCAAAAATGCCATACTAGATATTTAAGAATCATTTTAAGAGATCTCCCTTTAAAGTAGTTTTCAGAGGCAATTATTCTAAAATAGTCAAGGACAAACACTCCAGTAGATCCAGAACTTTATTCTTTATACTTAATTTTTACATAGAAATAAAGCATTATAAAATGCTATTTCTAGAATAGCAATTGAAATTCTAAAATTTATCACCACCTGAATTAACTAACAACCTAAGGCCATAGGTGATTAGCCCTTCTCAGCACTTGTTGACTTTTAAAATATTCTCTGAAGGATTGTTACAGGGCTTCTTTCACTTCTAGCTCCAAAAGAATTGAATTTTACAAATGAGTGTAAATGTAATGTATTTGACTTTAAATGACTTAATGTTTGTCTTTATAATTAGCTAGTCCTATGAAGTAAAAAGAAATTTTGGATTTTTGATTAATTTATTCAGCTATTTGAACACTACATAAAATAAGATCTGACATTAACTGGTCAGAAATTGTCTTCACTTATTAGCATAGTTTTCATTTACAAATTTCAAAATTTTCATTATGATTTTAATTAGTTCATTTTCTGTGAGTTAGTCTAATTTTTAACTCGGCAGTCTTCACTGTCATGACATTTTTTTCTCCCTTATACCATCAAAAATGCTACAGAAATACCCAGAAGATCAAGCTTTCATGGGTCGATTTAAATTGTGTCCTTTATAGAAAGAAATAGTCTTATAAGTAATGTAGAAAGTGAGAGTAGATTGTTAGGTTCTGGAGCTCTACAAAAAAATTGTAAGATTTTATTTTTAATAACTTCATTAATATAATTCTCAAAATGTTTAAAATATTCAAGTGGGTTCAATTTTCAAAATGAAGCATTACATCTTTTCATAGAAAAACAATTTAAAGTGAGACACAACTTTTATTTTACCTCTTTATTAGCCTCTAATTAAATAAAAACCAGCAACAGAAATTAAAATCTAAATCACAAAAGTAATTATCCAGTGTATTTTAAGTGCATTTTTTCAAATATATAATTCAGATATTCAAGCATTATTATATATGCTGAATTCAAATTTCTTTGAATATATTTAAATAGCATTTCAAGTATACTTATGGAATGTTAGAAATAGAACAAGCAATATAGTTGAAACAAAATGTAAACTTTTAAAAGTTCAGACACTTTCAAAGACAGATAAAATACCAGGAGGAAATCTACCTTTAAATGGTATCTTTGTTAGTGGAAAATGTCTGGAAGTATCCAAAATGGCAATTTAACTTCTGTTCACCAAATCACAAAACACAAACATCCACACTTCAAAGACAATGTGAGATCACAATATTTGTTACAAATCAAAATATACATTACACTTTCCTTCAGATGCCATATCCAAATCGTGTTTACTCACAGACAGATGCACCTAAATCACCAGGATTGCTATAATCCTTTGATAGTTAGGCAGAGTGTTCCCTGTGGTCTTGCATTACAGCTGGGTTGTTTTCAGGGTGTCACTGTGTACTTTTCAAGGGAGATATGAAATCCTTTGTAAAGAAATCTCTAATACATGTGGGTTGGAGTTTTTCTTTATCTGCTTCCCCCACTTGTTTTTCTCCCCTTGGAGGGTTGAGTGAGATGATGCCTAGACACTGTATTATTCCTTTTTAAGGAAGAGATTGTTTGCACTGTCAAGTGGTACATGAGGGATCGAACAGGAAGTGTACACTTAATTCGGATTTTTAGAAGAGGAATCACGTTTCAGTTCTTGATTAAACTGTTTTCTAAAGTTTTTCCAAACTTTTCGGGTTGGTCAGGATCTCTCTTGCCAGTCGCCACGTTTGTTTGGCAGCGTTCTCCAGCGCCGAGTGAGGTTTGCCTTGAAACAGATCTAGGTTGGGCAGGAAGTAGTGAGGGCATCGCCGGCACTGCAGGCAGGAGATGAGTTGCAGCAAAATGCCATTGAGCCGATCACCCAGGCAGGACTCGTCCCAGTCGGACTCCCGGGGGTGCTTTTCACACTCATAGGAAACCAGAGTCTTCATGTGGTAATTGTTCAGGGGCTGGCCGGGCAGCTCCAGGTGGCGGTCCCGTAGGGTTTTGAGGATGGAGAGGCATTTCTTCCTGCAGCCCCCCATCTGCAGCCTGTTCTCGGCTTCCGCGAACTGCAGCACCCAGGCGTCGCTCTCGGCCGAGCTCTGCTTGCCGGCCAGCGAGTGACACTCCTTAGACAGGAGGTTGAACCCTTCCGCTTTGACCTCCGCCACCCGGTTGGGCCCGGGCCAGGGGATGTGGGGAAGCGGCCAGTGGGCAGCACTCCTCGGCCAGATCCCGGTGCATTTGAACGCAGGGGTGATCTGCACCACGTACCGATCTCGGATTCGCAGTTTCACTTCGCTGGTGTCTGCCACCATCTTTACCACATCCCTGTAGCTACATTTGTCCACCGCTTGAGCCACCAGCGTCTGAAACCGGGACCGGATTTTGCGCGCCGAGAGGTAGCCGGAGGCTGTAATGAATTCCACCCAGAGGGACATGCTCCTTTTGCGCCCGTCGCTTAACTTCAGCACCGCGCAGCCGGGAAGCGAGCCGTCGTCCACAAAGTTGAAAACCCCCATTTGGTTAAGGTAAAGCACCACCTCAAATTCGGTGGGGGAGATGACCTCCAAGCCCTCGTAGCGGTTGTCCATTTCGTTGAGGGAGCTGATGAAGCGGGGCTCCTGCACTTCCACTTCTTTCAGCACGTCGGACACGACTTTGCAGACTTCCCGGATAGTTTTGGCAATGGCAGCTTTCCTGGCTTGGCATTTTTCGTTGTAGTACTTGTTCAGGTGGTACACCAGCTTGGCCTGGGCTGCGATCATGTTGGGGCAGAGATCCGGATTGTACACCGGAGTCTCGCAGTAGGCTGTGGGATCCAACGCGGCAGCTGGAGCTGGAGCCAACTTCGTGCAGAAACGGCCCGGCGCTCTCGGAGCGTCTCCGAACCGGCCCCCGCGCGCCTCCGCGGGGCTGCCGGCGGCCGCGGTCCCCTCCTTGGGTCTGGGCGCCCAGCCGCTCTTAAAGTGAAACACTGCTCCCCCCCTTTCTCTGCCTCTCTTCCTCTTTTAAAGAATCCTGGTGGGAAGGAAACGCACGGAGAGATCACCTTCTCAGAAATAAAAACAAAAGTTGCGCTGATACTCAGCAAAGCTCTTCAGGAGTCAAAATAATCAACCTTTTCCGTGTTTATTTACGCTTTCCGAGAGTCATTGTGTGTGCTGGGCTGTTAATCAGGTGGAGGAAAAGTGTGCTGAGTGTGTGTCGGGGGTGAGTGTGCGTGTGTCTATGTCAGAAGAAGCTGCTGTCGGTTTGTCTCAGAGCCCAGATGCACTCGTGTGGAAATTATAAAGGCAGGGCCAGGCAGGCTGGCGGCCAATCGCCACTGGGCTCGTCACCACAGCCTCCTCTGGCTCCAGCCAGGCTAATTAATCCCCCTCGTGGATATAGGCACAGGAACTAAAGGTAGGAGGCTGCTGTAGGCTGAAACCCACCCAGGCCACCTAGACACTTTTGGAAATCAACAGGAATCTCTCAGCTTTGGTATTACTTGAAGCATATTGACGTTTTGAAAGGACTTGGCAAAATGTTTCTCTGTGCTGAAAACCCTGCTTGTCTTTACCGCTGAAAGGCAAATACAGGTGTATGAATGGTCAAACATCAATGAGTGAACTAGGTGGGGTTTTCTAGAACAAAAGACACTAACTTACATTTAGGGGATGAAAATCATTAATGTCTGTTAATCCTGGAGGTCTTTTAAAATGCAAGTTGAAAGTTCACTCTTTCCTGTATATGCAAGTTGGCTTCGTGAATGTTCCTATATGTTAGAATGATTTTTTAAAATATTATGCAGTGTGTTACTTCTGTTTGTTCTTCTTTTGCAGGTATTGAAAGGGATCCGAACATTATTTCTAAGTGTGTTAGATGTTGTCTACCCTAGTTTAAGTTAGGATATTTTTTTTAATGTTTCGTATACACCCCTCCCCCAATCCATAGCCCTCTTTGTACTTTGGCAGGCTTGCCCAACATTACAAGTGGGATGCTTAAGTTTTGTATGCACTGGTAAAAATATTTGAAAAATCAATTGTCTCTGTGATGGAGAGATTATTTTAACGTGCATTCATAGTGAGCTGTATTCCCAGATGTCAAATGTAAGAAAGA